CAGGTGTAGATTGACTACAAGTGCTACCAAGTGCAGCGGGGCTGCCGTAGCTTTGCGCATAAAGGACGCGTAAGTTAGGTCACCGACCTCTCGTTCTACACTCAGAACAAGTACGAGTTTAGCGGATCGCAATCCGCTTACTCCAAGATTAATTATTACCTTAATTCAAGGCTAATTAACTCTTAGGTTTAGGTTCAAAACTTACTTTATTTATGTTTATCTGCGGCAAAGCCGCCTAATATTCCATGCATAGATTTTCCTAAATATATATAGTAAAATCTAAATACATGTATAACAACTGGCTATCCAGCCCCGTACCGTTTTCTTGTTTAAGTGTGGTCATACCATGTCTATCTGATGTGACACACACCCCTGTTACCAGGGTATGCGTAACTATATATATCACATTATGCTGCCCACCTCGCCGCGGCGGAGACCCTGGATTTCTTACAAATGTGAGCTTCCGGCTTAATCAAAGAGCAAAATTTGCAATATCTCGTCGAGCAGAGCTAGCCAATACGATTCTTAGTCTCGTGAGCTCCAAGCGATGTGGCGGCATGCCGACGCTCTGTGTGCGGCTGATACAGACATATAATTCTCCTCGGATGTGGTCGCACAATCTTCTGGATGGACTTACTGGTTTGAGACATCTAAAGCCAGATCGCCGTTTCAAAGCAGGATGTAGCTCCGTTACTAGTGATGATTGAGCCATCTATCCGACTTATCCAATCTGAGTGGCTCCTGAGAGCGAATTGTGGTTCGGCTTGAGCAAATAAATATAGAACACAGGATTTGTTTGCATTCTCTTCAGGAAAACGGGAGTTAAACTCAATTTTTTCTGGCTACGAATGTTAAAAGGATTAGGCACACCTTAGCTTATAGCCTGCAGACAATGCATTTGTATCTCTATTAGCGGCGATCAATGTGTCAATAAAAACGAACTCGTGTGTGTTTAGTCTGCCTCCGTCACGTGCAAATCGCATTGATTTATCATGCTATATCGTCAGTCTCTTCACGATAAAAGCTTCAAATTTGTGTCGGAAACCATAGCCAGAAAAATCATACCGATTCGATCGGAATCACCCCCCCCCACCAATGCCGTAGCCACTTTGAAGGCGGTATTACGAAGACAAGGTGGCCAATCAAATCATCAATGAAGGCTTATGGTGCAGACATGTATTGCGATGATAATTACTAAGTTCATGCGTGGGAGCATTTCGCTTTAACACCTAGGCTCCTCCGCACAAATGCATCGGAGGGTGTCCCTAACTAGCGACCAAAGTATTGCGTATGGCTAACTGTTGTGAATGGATGCAATCTCCGCCAGTAGCACCACATTTTTAAGTAGCAACGCTTGGATGTATAAACACTTGTAGTGTATTGACCTACTGATCAACTTCGTGAGCATCGCCCGAGAAGCACTGACGGCTTCATTAGCCAAAACTCAAATGATGATGAGCAAGAGGTCAGACACAGATTAACAGCTGTAAACCGCACGTTTTCTGGTTGGACCAAAATGTATTTATCAAAGGCTTCAGCTGTTGAAGTTTGATGAGCATTCGATAAAATTATTTTGCCTCAAAAAATCCTGAGTGGTTCCAAGTCCATCCACATAAGCAGGATAAACGATACTGCTTTGAGACCTTGATTTTTGTTCTTCTAATTTTCATACATGTAGATAAATGACGTGAATAAAAGCTGCCTCATGCTTTGGACCGAAGACGTCGCAGAGATGTGGAATAACAGTAAAGTACAAAAACTGAATTTTCAATTTGCTGAATGGACAAAATGAAGATTTTCGTATCATACATCTTCATGAAAAGTAATGAATTTGTAAAAAGACCGGTACGTCCGTATGAAGCGGGCTGGAGCTTTAAGCGACACGGACTGTGGTATTTCCGCACCGCTGAATCACATGTGATGCTCCATTACTCTAAATGAGATGCGTGGGCTTCGAATTTAATAGAGCCCTCGCGAGTTCTATATTGAGCAACAATAGATTAAAATTGTTAATGGATTTTTTGTCTTCAAGATATTTATGAGGATTGTCTGTTGAGCTTAAATAAGGCAAATATTTATGAAAATTTACTCATAAAGTCCTTTGTACATTGCTTCTTTATGAAACCTCACATATTTATCACTGTTCCAAATAATGTTTGAAGCTCCAGTTACAAGGCTTAAATCTTATACAACGACTCTTACGACAGGGAACTCATAGTGAGTTGAAGTATAAAATGGAGTCTCATATCGTAATAATTTGGCATCAATCGATTTTGAAAAAGAAAGTTGCCAATACTAATATCCTCCTAAAACACAATATAAGTGCAGCCTTGTCCGGAACGTCTTGAGAGTGAAATGACTAATCTAGCCAAATTACCAAATTATGACATGATTTCGTATCTTCTATTCCATAACCAATCCATGGCATCCTACATGCTGAGAGCGAATTAGTACTATTTTTGTTTCTGCATGCGTGTAAGCGCGTGCTGCCGTTTCAGTGAAATTCTACCGAATATTTCTTTCTACGAGGGACGTCTTTCTCTAACAGTCATCTAGCATTTAATTAAGAAGTAGCGAAACTGCTTGCAATCAAAATAACCGCAGATGATACGCTCGCTGATCCCACGTAATTTACGTGATACGCCCGCCAACTTGACGTAACATACAGTAAACGTCAATCGCTGACCTAACGTAATACACGTCATACATACGCTGATCCTAGTGATACACTTATATTAAGCCTTTGTACTCTCATAAATAATAAATTATCACGACTGATATATACCGAATAATATTCTACACATGTCATTAATTACAAATGTCAATATCATCCATGTAAAATGTAGACGTTTCTAGAAACGATTTTTACGGATACAGTAACGTATGATAAAGTCCAGACGCAAGAATCCACGGTGGGACTACAGAGAGCAACTGTCAGTATAAGGGGTTGGGTACATTTATGGGGATAAAAATCCGAGCATTTCGCGAACTACTGCAGGTCGCGTGTGTAGCGAAACAATACGCACTTAAATAACGTGGTTTGAGTCGAGATTTACCGTTTGGTCGTCCTTCACTATATCGTCCTCTTGCTTACTCGACTGGCGTGATTATTTCTTCTTGTAAGCTTGAATTTAGCTTAAAGACGGCAATGTATGAAGGAATGTCCACGCCACAGAACGATAAAGTAATATTGCGTACGTCTGACATGGACGCCATGACATTGAGCAATGAAAATCAACCAATTTCTGCTTCAATTGGAGGACATGGTGCTTTGCGAGATATTGATCACGACTCTCATCGCAATCCCATGATTCCACTTATGAACCAAGGAACAGTCAATTCTACTGCTATCTCGCGTCTTAGTGTAAGTTCACGCTTGTCACTTAACCAGATGGGAACGTCCCACGTTGGACAATTACGCCGACGTCTTCCTTCCCGCATGTCTAGCAAGAAACGGTCGTTTTACCACGCCCATCATCGTAATGCATTAAGAGGCAAAATGCCACACGTACCTCACCACTGGCTTAATGCCAGATTCCGTCACAATTCGTTCTTTGCACAACGATTATTACGCACGGGTATTCCACTTTCAATGGTATTAGTTACAGGTTTGGGCATCTACTACTTCTATAAGCCTCACTGGCTCGTTTTAAATTCGAGTTTCCCTCATGTCTATGGATTTGAATTGCAATCGCCACGTATTGTGTATACATTCCAAGCCACAAGCTGCGAAAATGTCGTGGGCTTTTCAGCATTAATTTATCACACACTACCAGCAGTCATTCTACTGTGTTTACCAGGCTCTGGGTGGCGACTTTTTGAGCCTTTTAATCGAGATGATTCCTTTTCACCCGCTGCAAGTGGCGCTCAGGTGGCAAAAACGGACATTGAAACTGGAAATGGCGGAATGGATCTTGACGATGATGAAGAAGACGATAACAATCTTTCAAAAATTAAACGACGATTGGTCTTTCAATTCTGTGAAGTCGTGGCAGTAGTTTTGCTTCTTTTTCAAGCATTTGTCATCTTGTTTTTTCTCTACATGTTTTTCAAAGGTGGCGTTTTCAAGTGCAATTTACTTGCTGTTCAACTCTTTGCACTTGTGAGCGTCATGTGCTTCTGTGGGATCTTTATGGAAGTGCGGCATTTTGCACGTTTTCGAGAACATATTAAAATGTTACTTGGAGCTTTTCGAGAAAGCGACCAAACTGGCGATATCCGGAACCACGTTATGGATCCAGGGTTTGATCAACTTAAGAATCAATCGGCTAAAGCGTTAGCAGTTGTACGAAAGCGTTTATATAAAGCTACGCGACATGGTGATTTACGTGCAATGCGAGATATTCTAGACTATGCGCAAGCGGCAGGTTTAACAAGTGAGGCACAAGGATTTCCTCGTAAAAGCTATGCACCAGCTACTTTAGTTTTGGGCTTTTTTGCTTGCTCTCGCAAAAATCCCGTGCATGTTGCGGCATATCATGGCAATATTCGAGCTTTGGAGCTCTTAGAAGCTCGAGGTTTTGACGTCATGGCTATGGATAAGTTTAGTCGAGTACGAATCTCAACTGGTGATCTCTTTTGGTATTTCGCTCGTTATTTTGTGACTCGTCCGGGTATTGATGGAGGTGCCAGCGAGGATGAATCAGCTGTTTCTATTTTCCGCTCGACGCTCGTAACACCACTGCATTGTGCTGTCTCAACGGGTCAATTAGAAGCTGTACGCTGGCTGCTTGGACGTGGTGCATCAGCTCGTACACTTGCACGCTCGTCGTACCGTTCGGATCGGGTCCCGCCTCTTTTCCTGGCCGACCATCCAGATGTTGTACGCGAATTGCTTGTACATGGTGCGGATCCTCTTGCTGTGCCCGATCCAGGATACATGAATACTCTCACAGCATTGCAGCTTGCGTATCTGCGTGGTAATTACGCAGTTGCTCAAGAACTTGAAGAATGGGGCGGTGATGTAGCACTAACGCCATTTCATTCGGCTGCCGGTCAAAATGATGTCACGACAGTCCGTAAGTTCTTGCGTAAGAAAACGGATGTGAACTGCTTAGGTGAATTAGGTTACGTGGGTCTTAATCGACGTACACCATTACATTGGGCAGCTGTGAGTGGCGCTTTAGAAGTCGTTGATATACTTCTGGAAGCAGGAGCAGACCCGAATTTTCAGGATGCTCGAGGACGCACGCCATTGCATTGGGCAGCTCGTTTGAACCGAACGAATATCTTGCGCTCGCTTCTTAAAGCTGGTGCCGATGTGAAAATTGTAGATGTGGACTACATGACACCATTAATCTGTGCGGCCTCAGGATTAGATGCAACACGTGAAGTCTTTAGTATCCTGACGTCCGCAGGTGCCGATATCAATGCACAATTACCAACTAGTGGAGACACAGCACTACACATTGCTGTTCGAGAAGAGAATGAACAATCGGCACTTGCAATTCTTGCCAACGGTGGTAACTTGATGAAAATGAACATTGAAGGATTGCGACCATTAGATTGTACTACATCGACGCGATTGCTATTTGAAGTTAAACGCGCTGCTGGCCAACGTGACGTGATGATTAGTTATACACACTCACACGCAGAATTTGCAAAGAAGATTCGTAAAGCATTGGAAGAAGCTAATGTTACAACTTGGTTGGATTTAATGGATCCGAGCGGTATTGGCGGTGGATCCGTTTGGCGAGAGGAAATTGCACGTGGAATTACAAACGCTGCAGTGGTACTCTGTCTACTTACTGAAGATTATGCACAATCCGAGTGGTGCTTAAAAGAACTAGCACTGGCGAAACAGGTCGGAACGCCCATTCTTGCGGTATCAACAGAAGGAGTTCGTATTACAGAAACTCTTCAAGTTTATTTGTATACGCGTCAACTCATTCCGTTTGAGCCAGCAATTCTTCAGACGAAACGAAACAGTGTCAATGCCCGTCAAATTGAATACGATTACGATGAAATTAAGTTTCAAGCACAATTTCGTTTGCTACTTGATGGTGTACGTGATGAAATTGAAAAGAATCGTGATGCTATCGTGCAGAAAAACATTGCAAGCAGTCTACGTGTGAATAGGCTGCAACAGACGACAACTGGCACTATCTTAGCAAGCACTGGTACTGGATTTTCACGACTTTTCCAGCCTTGGGATCCAAATGCTAGCGGTGCTCATCAACCATTTGTCTTTCTTTCGCATGGTGATAAACATTCAAATTTTGTGCAGCAATTGCATCGTGAATTGACAGATGCTGGGATTGCATGTTATGGAGATCGCAACGTAGATGGTCAACAGTTTGAAGCTCGTATCCATGCAGCCCAGGAAGCAATTTTGCGTTGTACATGTTTTCTCGTGATTTTATCAACACAAACAATGACGAATGAGCTTGTGCGAGACCAATTGGCGTTTGCAGAAGACAAAGGACGACCTATTTTTCCAATCACATTAAATGACTTGGATATTGATTTGGATAAACGATATTCACTTGCTCGTAATGAATTGTTTCACTTCATGGGCGATGGCATGAGTTTTAAACCAAGTGTTGATCGACTCATTCAAGGATTGCGTCGCTATTATAGTCCACGAGAGAATACAACACTCGACATGACAAGAATTGCTAGTGTCAATACGTCGTTTGTGTCATTCACATTCAGTGAACCGGAAGGAAAAGATATTGACCGAGAAAATGTAGCTGACCTTATTATACAGGAAGGTGATGTATTACGTGATAGCTTGGACTTCCCTCGAATCAGCAGTGACCCAAATACGGAAACACGCAATTTTGAGTCCATTTCAGGCATTGAAGACGCTCATATTTACCTCTCGGGTACTCATATCCGTATTTAGGGGCGGAAAAAGGCTTTATAAACATTTTAAGATGGCGATTTTAAGCTAACTATTTTATTATAAAATTGACGTATTTGAAGATGGCAGGTATTTTGTACAAAACACCACAGTAATTAGTTTTGTGTACCGACACATCGATTCGTTCGTATAATCGGCAAAAGCAAGGTGCGGGTCACACAGTTACACAATGGTGTGGGTGACACGAGATGGCGTGATCACACAATGGAGTGGCTACACTTAAACAACAAGTCGGTACGTGGCCAGTAGTTATACATTCTATGAAGTTTCACTAAACAGATAGGAAAATCTATAGATTTAGATATAGGCGGCTTTGTCGCAAATTAAAACCGAGAAAACATTTTAATGTTAAACGGAAGAGGTAATTAGCCTTGGATTAAAGTTGTGATAACTCTTGGAGTAAGTGGATTGCGATCCGCTACACCCGTACTGGAACTAAGTATAGAACAAAGGTCACCGACCTTAACCAAGCTTTTTCTAAGCGAAAGAGCTACGGCAGCCCCGCTGTAAAAGCTGTGTAACGGATGTTTAAGGGAATGCAGATGATAGATTTCCTCCCGTAACGTTCGCTTTATCACGTACGTGGGAAGCATAAGGGTGTGATAAAATAAATAAATACCGTCTCGAAGGAAGGTGCTTATATGTAAAGATACTCTGTCACGATTTACAGTTTTGCTACTTTCAAAGCACGACAGCGGGGTGACGATCAGTTTAAAAAGTAAAGGCATTCATAGAAATCACTGACTAATTATCCTGGGGCTATTACAATTGACGAACATAGTTGGGACTTTGTGAGAAAACATTAGTGTGTACGCCAAAAATGGTCTCATAAACCACCTCTACGTATGGTATAGTCTCTGATAAGGGTCTTGCAAAGCGAACAAAACTTATGATTATAAAAAGCCAGGCACGTTCTTTTGATAGATGGCGAAATATAAGGATCGTGGGTAGTGTACGTACACATAACAATTTTGAGCAGTTTTTGGAAATATTAAATTACAGGTTTTGATATGGACGATGGGATTGTGCGGAGCAAACCATGGACACGTGGGCTGCTCATTGCATGCTATACAGCACAAATAGATAAACTATATGAGTGTAGGCAATAGATATGTTCCGTTTTAAATCTGCCAATAAATGTTGCAAAACAACCTCATTTTCAAAGTCCAGAGTGCTAACCATTACACCATAAGAGCGTGATTCACATTGCATCTATATACCCTTTACCAATATAAAGCTGCACAGATCCATGTTTGTTTGAGCTGTTGCAAAACTCAGCCGCATCTCATTATGCCGTCATGATTATACATAGCACGTTGAGCACATCTATATGCAGAATACGCTGTTCTCGACGCCTTCAGGAAACCGAACACTGCGATTCTTTTTATGGCCTTGAGGGCTACTGAATACATCTTCCAGCGCATGGATGATGCGATGCGTTGTCGAGCGCGATAAATTGATCTTAAAGTTGGCTCCTACCCACTCTTGAATCTGGAACAGCTTGATGCCCGCTTGACACGTACTTGAATCTGGCGTTTTTCGTCCCGCGCAAGCAGTCGCTGGCCTCCGGTCATGGTTGTTTGCCTCCAAAACGGTTGGCGAGTATTTATAAATGGAGGGAAACCCGTGTTTTGTGACCACAGATTTTGTTTTAGCTCCAAAAATCCCACCAATGGAGGTAGCATACAAAAACCAATACAAACAATCGGTGCAATGCGTTGGAGTTCTAAATATAAGATTTGTGTCACTATTGGAGGTCCACATATGGAGGTGTGACTGTATTTGCTGTAGGCAAATAATTTTGCAACGCTGATAAGTGACCTGTGCCTAAGATCGCAAAATTCTGGTCGTGACCACGCTACAAAATGTTAGCGAAGAAAATAAATTGAATGCATTCCCCGGAGATGATATGAGCACATCTTGTCTTGTCGAATATGTTGAAGTCAGAACATGACTCCACTCTTACGAATCAGCCAAATCTTAGGCTATTTGCTGGAGTCGGATCCGCGTCTCCGTTTTTTTTACAGTTGAGCTGCCCTCTGCTCTAGCTACGCTATTTTAAAGTGCTGATGCGATAGGATTACGCAGAGAGCGGTTCCACCTCTCGAACGGAGTCAACCTACCATCACGATCACGAGAGCCATCCACAGCAGGGTCGTCCTTCGCCGGTGCTGCTCACTGAGCACAAAATTTCTTGAGAACGGTCAATGAACCGGCGGCTACAGCCAGGAAAATTATCAGGATTTGGCAAATCTGATGGGAAACCCTCTCATTGAACATTCATGTGAGTTTCAGGTGTCACTTTGACAATGACACACTTTCGATTTCGGCCTCCATCTTCCCTGTGAAAATATCAGGATCCTCCATCAGCGCGCTTTCAACAATCGAGTGCAGGCCAAACTTGTTGCAGTTCTGATAAGTGATCGGTATCGGAAACAAGCATATATTGAAGACGAGCAGTACTATCAATAGCGGATAGTTTATATGACCGGTTGACCTCGACGTCTGCGCCGTGCTTTGTACTTTGCAAAAGCAAGACTTTAATACAATCTATGCAAGACTTTTCGACACTTCCGTTAGCATAAGGAGCCCAAATTACTGACCTCATTGAAGGTGTTCCTTCTCATTCTGATAATAATGCAGCACTCCTCAGGAATTGTAAGACCCCCCCCACGACCTCATTTGATCGACACAACGTGATAGATGTTTCGTTGGATACACCAGCAAAAGTCAAGTATTGGTTTGAAGCTGGAAGGAGCCTATTTTGGCGCTCGCTTTGCTCTCGCTGAAAGCGAAAAGCCCCACACATCACCGCGGCGTGAACTAAAACTGGTTTTAAGCCATAATTAGGATGCGATGCGATCGACAAGAAGCCGTGGGACTATCGTGCTTAAACATTGGCAAGTTTGGTTTATGAGCCAGGTCAAGCTCGTCATCAACGATTTATACAGCGTCGTGACTTCCAGGGCGGGGCGTCGCAAAATTGACACGGTGAATGAATAGGGCACAGAGCTTGAAGCTCGTGGAGAGGGCGGGCGAAGCGCAGGAAGCACCCCCACTTAGGTGAACGGCATGGATGGATGTCTTAAAGCAGAACTACAACACTGATTGCGTCAATTCCAATTGAAGAACATTTTGGCCTCTTTATTGAGTATGGCGTAAAGGTCGTCGGTCGTGCGCTTTACTTTGGCTTTGCAGCCAGGTGATGCAGCCGAATAAAACGAAAGAAAACGCGAATACACACTCATTGTAAAGTGCAAAGAGCGAAGTGAAACTCGAAGCGTAGTGGGTGCCGGTTGAGCGTTAAGTTTTACGCAATGTCTAAAATTGAAAAATATGATCTTTGCTGAAGTGAGACGATTGATGCCATTGAGCAGAGGCGGGAAAAAATGGAGTTCTGGACGATGATGTACGTACACTTTATATGTTCGTACAATCGTCAAGATACAATGTTGTACAATTACTTAAATTTTTGTCACACTTTTAATTTATAGGAGTGGATGGATGAATTTAATGGGTTTTTAGAAAGGTCCATTAGACACGTCGGCAGTTAATAAAAAATGTTTAGTTATATTGGGTTAAGTAAACGCATGAAATTCATATTAGTTCAATCGTAAATGATGTCTCTTTGCAATAATGATGCAAATTATTAGTGACACTCCTGTGTGGACCGCGCGAACCACCACCTGTGCGTCTCTTAACGCGTCCTCGATTTGTCGAAGCTTCCCCTATTTTAGGTGCACGGTAGCTCCAATGCAAGAATTAAGTCAAATCTAATCTTATCAGTTTTTCAACATAAAATGCTTTGCGTGATATGAAGCTAAGAGCCTACGTGTCCCCCAGATATCGTTGTAATAAGGTCCGATCGTCCATATCAGTATCAACCTTGAATTTTTCAAACAAGCGCAGGACTTCAAGATGCACTGAAGCGTAATACGGCACGTAGAGTTTCCTTCTTTCTGCCTTCAAAGAGCCATATACTTTGCATTATCAGCTTCACGGAGGCGGATTGTTCTCCATCCTCGGAGTTGTCTCACCAATGCTAAGTATGATTAGTGAACACCTCCTGGCAAGTGATTGTCGTGTCTGGCCCTCGGAACGCTTTTTTGCCATTGGTAACAACGATAGATATGAGCTCACCCAGTATATTTTCCGATGCCAGGTATCGAACCACGCGTTCACAGTTATTGCAGTCTAGGAAGATTCGACCGTTGAAATAAGACGAATGTTACCAAGCACAACGGGGTTGCTGTGTACTCTGACCTTAGAAATCTTTGGTCAAATGAAGTTGCGTTCACGAATGCACAGAGTATGAGCTCGTATACATGACCGAAGCTGATAGCTTCAAACTAATAACTATTAGTATGCACCTCAATCCCAAGAGTCACATCTTTTCAGAATTTCGTCTACTCTAAGCTTATGCTAAACATATCGTTTCCGTAAAAGCTATTTACTGCATAGCCTGCCAACATGCCTCTATTTGCAGGTATGCTTAAATTTGGTAATAAAAATGATGGTTCATTTTCCCATTTACTACAACTTTGTATACTCTCTTCGGATCCGCGACCAAACAGGCTACAGAGCTGCTATCAGAGCTCGCACGATCAATGGTCAGTTCTACTCACTATTTAAGTCGATGAGTTTAATTGAAGTGTTTGTAGCATGTTATATACATATTTACTGCCCCCACTATGAGATTCTTCATACTAAACCCTGTTATTATATTCACCACATATCTTATCACCCAACATGGCATCGTAATTTATGTTAATAGAATCGCTCGATTCCGTGAGTTCCATCATACTGATAGACGAGTTCGATCCTCGTTGGCGGGTATCATAGTGACCATCACAAGAAGGAGCACCTTTAATTGTGTGTTGTGTCGATTTTAAAACGGATGGTAGGTCTTCATGCACAACATGTATCATTCCATCTTTCCCCATTTCAATCTCTTCATCTGAATTGAAATCCTCATCCTGAATACCTGCATACGAAAGATTCTCGTCTTCCTCATCAAAATCGTCGGTCAATTGTCTTGCAAGCATTGAAAAGTTACCAATCATTGATTGCGAAAGACTTGACTCGGAAGTTATACTACGTGTTGGACCACTTGTTATGGTAAAAGTTTGCGAAAGACGCGTTGGTGGTAAACCAAAGTTCGAAGGGTCACTTCGGGAACTTGCATATATACTTCGCGAGGTCACACGTCGTCGACGCAAACTTCCTTCTATTTGAAATGATGGATGGAAGGACAATCGAGTGGATAGCGAGCTATCACGTAAGTCTGCAAAGCCACCACGAAGCTGCACATCGCTTCCATTGCTTTGATTTATATGTGCTTTATTTCCAGCAGAATTGAAGGAACGAAGATGATTGAAATTGCGTAGCGGCGCTCCAATACTAATACCATAAACCTCTTCACGCAAAGCATTCAACAAGTGTCGTAAAGACTGACGGAAGCCCATCATGTCACCCTTTGTAAAGAAGTGAAAGAATTCACTACGTGCCAAACTGTACTTGACGTCAAGACTGAAATTCGTTCGATTGACTACCACTGGTAGAATTTTCTTGCCTTTATCTTCCGCAAACGCCAATTGATCTTTCACTAATTCACTTGCTAATGTTTTTTCCGAGATGAGAAGCACAAAAGCTGAACACTTGAGAATTGCTTCCTTGGCTTCGTGAATTCGTACCGACATGTCTTCATTCATCGAACATTTCGACTTGGTCTTATCTAGATCCTCTTCTTTGTCTTCATCAATTGTTGAGGAGAATTTGGCCATGTGCTTTCGATCGACATAGCAACGCAGACCTCCGTCCCGACACATTTCAACGCATAATTTCTGCACAAATCGTTGGTGGTAATTACCATGACTTATAAACACAAACTGCTCGCCACTGGCAGAAGCTTTATTCAAATCCTCTAAACTTTCCACGATACTGTCGTTGCTCGTAGATTCATCAACAAGGTTTGAGCTTTTATCAGGTATCGTGTTAGTACAGCCTCCACGTTTTGATACGTCTTTGTTGATGGTTCGATAAAAGTAGTAGCCACCCGTATCCAGCATAATGCTATCCGACACGCCACAGTCGTCTACAAAGCTATTTGAGCTACTTGCGCTACTCAGAACGCTTAAATTCGAACCATTTGGATCGTGATAACCACGTACGGCTGATAGTGCATTCGACCCAATGGATTGAGATGATCCCTGTAGACCACGATGTCGACGCTTTTGTAGCATACACTGCATAGTTGAACCCTCCATCTGGTCATGAATAAACGAGCTATTCGAGTCGGACGAGCTATGATTCGTCGGATCAATTGCTGACATAACCAGCATTCGCTCATCAAACTTCATCGAATCCAACCCATATGTGTTTGAAGAGCTCATACCGGAGACAGCGTGCTTAATCTGTCGATTACGTATTCCACTCGCTCCGTAGCTTAATCCTGTGACTGGATTTATCTCGGCACGCCGCATATTGCGTTTAATATTATCTTCCTTTCGCTTTTCAATCTCATCTCGCATCCCATCAAGCAACATCCGCAACTGCCTCTTGTACGCAAATTCATCATATTCGTAACGCACTTCCTTACCATTCACGTGTTCGACATTCACGATGGCACTTTCAAATGGAACAAGCTGTCGAGTATACAAGTAAACTTGTAATTCTTCTGATATCTTGGCATGTTCAGTCGAGATGGCCAAGATGGGAGTACCTACTTGTTTTGCTAACGCTAATTCCTTGAGACACCACTCTGACTGTGTATAGTCCTCTGTTAATATACAGAGCACAACGGCTGCATTTGTAATTCCACGTGCAATCTCTTCTCGCCACACAGATCCTCCTCCTATTCCACTCGGATCCATTAGATCTAGCCACACAGTAATGTTTGCATCTTCTAAAGACTTTCGTAATTTCAATGCAAACTCCATATGTGAGTGTGTATAACTAATCATGACATCACGTGTGCCAGCTGCACGTTTGATCTCAAATTGTAGTCTTGTTGATGTCGTACAATCAATGGGACGAAACCCATCGTGATTCGTACGCATGATGTCTCCTCCCAAACTCAATAGTGCCAATGCAGTCTGTTGATCATCAAGTTTCACAGCTAAATGCAAAGCCGTATCGCCTGATACACGAAGTTGATGGTTGATATCGCCACCACTAGCAACAAGCACCTTAAACATATCGACACTGGTCCCTCCAGCACAAGCCGCACACATAATCGGCGTCATATCGCAATCATCAACAATCGTAGGGTCTGCACCATGTGCTAGCAGTACTTTTACGCTATCTACACGGTTAACACGAGCTGCCCAGTGAAGAGCAGTTCGTCCTTGCGCATCTTGAAAGTTAGCATTGGCCTCGGCCGCTAGGAGAATTTCTAAAGCACCTACTGCACCATTGACAGCAGCCCAATGCAGTGGCGTTCGCTTGTTCAAACCTACGTATCCAAGCTCACCTAAAACGTCTGGATTTACTTTTTTACGCAAAAGGCTCCGAATCGTTGCGACGTCATTCATCGCCGCTGCAGCGTGCAGTGGTGTAAGTGCCACATCGCCTCCCCAATCTTCTAGCACTTGAGCAACGGCATAGTTTCCACGTAAATACGCAAGCTGAAGAACTGTAATTGTATTCATATGACCTGGATCAGGGATTGCGAGATGATTCGCACCATTTCGTAGCAATACATGCACAATTTCAGGATGATCTGCAAGAAAAATTGGTGGTAAACGACTTTCACATCGAGACGATGATTTGGAACAAAGATTCACATCAGCACCGTGAGCTATGAGCCACTGTACAGCAGCCAACCGACCAGTACTTACGGCACAATGCAATGGTGTCACTAATGTCGTCTTGAGAACGGAGTTATACGTTTCATCTGCAGAGACCACAGTCTTAGGAATGAAATAACTGGCAAGGTACCAAAAGACATCCCCTGTACTCAATCGCCAACGCGACACTTTGTCAAACACATTAATTCGAAAGTGCGCTTTGTATAATAATTCCATTGCTGCAATATTTCCTTGATACGCCGCGACGTGCATGGGATTTTTCCTTGCGAATCCAAAGATACCAAACATCATGACAGGATCTGGATATAAATCCTCTGCAAACGTATCCCCAAGATGTGCTTTGGCTATCCGAATTGAACGACGTAAAAGCTTGAGATCACCTAGATGAGCGCCTCGAAATAGTCGCTTTTTAATGTCTTTAATAAGTGTCGATCCAGCGATTGATGGTATCATCGCTTCATCAGAATGACCATTTATTCTTTGTTGTCGTTTCCTACGTTTCATTTTCGAGCGTAACATATGCGCCTTGACATCGCCCGTTTGATCACTTTCTTTAAATGCACCCAATTGCATTTTTAAATGTTCACGAAAGCGAGCAAATGCTCGCATGAGTACAAAGAGTAACCAAAACATAATAAAGGCAAAGCCACAAAAGATATACGCAGGAATGTTTGAGTTACAGCCAACAAAGATCTTACCACTTGCAACGTAATAGACAGTAAAACCAAGAATGAGTGCTTCATATAAAAAGATCGTCACACCAACAAGCTCACAAACTTGTAGGCAAACTGTTCGTTTCACTTTTTGCAATCTTCCAACTTGATCAAATCGATGTTCTCGTCGAAATGGTTCAAATATACGTAATCCTGATGCTGGAAGACCTAGAATCAATACGGCAGGAAATAAATGATAAACTAACGCAGCAAGTGCCAACGAAGTGGAACAACTCTGTTCACTACTATGTACGAGAACGTGGAGTGGCGAGCCAACATATAATTTTCCATGTTGTATATCATCAGCATTGGATTCGTAAAAGTAGAAAAAACCAAGCGCAATGATATCACCAAGTACAATGAATTGAGAGAGTCGTAATAGTCGTTTGGAGAAATATGAATTACTCTGAAATTGAGTATTGAGATAGCGCTTGGGAAGTTGTGGAATGACAGAGTCTCGCACGTTTAATGAAGTTAATTGAATTGTATGTTCCGGATTCTCCTCTTGTTCGTCCTCTTTCTCTATTTGCTCGTGTTCACGTTCTATCCGTTCTGCATCTTCTAATGTAATAGCTTGAAATTCAATTGGAATCGTACGTGTTATTGGAATCTCACTTGAGTCTGACGTAATGATTGGTTTTAAAGGAATAATTGGTTCTGCGATTCTCGTCTCAGCATCGCTATCAAACGTGTCTTGACGTAAATATTCCTTCATAGGAGTCTCAAGTAGTACATACTGCGTGGGTGGATCTAGTGATTCCTCAAGCTCAACGTGGTCATCAGTGCATACAGTTAAGGTTGCGTTTGATTCCATACTCGAAGTATTTGATGCTCTAAACTGAAGTGTGCGAATAGCTACTTGATGAATGTATTGAAATACTGTACGGACTTTGGTCTCAATCAAGGCTGGGATCGTTTACTCGTTTTATGTGGAACGGCCAGTCAGAACCTCAGCACGCAGACGGGCGCACGGTACCTTTATACTACTGTCATAAAGTTCAAATTACTATGCTAGATCTGTAGATTTGTGATAGTTTGAGTCAGAGTCTTGGATAGCATTCATCTAGATTTTAGTACGACTTATTCTTATTCTAGAGCTTTTTCGTATTATTGTGATACTTTAAAGGACTAATGTACTTAAATTAGAAAGATCAACTAACATCCGTCCAGTGAGAAGCATGTATCAATTACATAAACAATGTGTAACATGTAAAGTCTGTACATTACTAGCAAGTAGACATGTGATAAGAGCGATCACTATTAAGAAAGGAGCATGCCTCAGTCCACACGGTAAGAATTAGGTGAGCTCCATTTTATTCGACAGCCATATCCTCGGTATTTGCGTCATCTTGGCTCTCAGCAGCTTCACTTGAATCAGGTTGCGTCAAAGGCTGATATTTAGACAGCACAATTGACGCAAATGTGCGCAGAATGATGGCGGCACCGCAAAGAATTATTCCATAAATGAGGTAGACGTCCACAAGGTAGGTCTTGTACAGTGGCTGCAAGTTATGCATTGGTAACAAGTGACGAGCTCCAAATTCAGCGACAGTCAGGACTTCATCTACTGCACGTTCTACCCCACCACCGGTTTTGATAAGATCGCCGAGCTGTTGAGCGTTGGTTTTATAGATTTCGGACTCACGATTGACCATCCAATCCACTAATCTGCTTAGTGTGCTCTCAGTGAAGGTTTCGACATCCAATCGCAATCCAGCTCCTGCTCGCATCACAACATTCAGAGTCTCTGATTGTTCCGCAGATTGAGGGATACCTATGATCGGAACACCGGCAACAAGAGCCTCGAGTACGCTCAAATAGTCTCCAGCAGTAATGAGCAACGCAATTTCCGGTGCTAACGCGAGCAACGTAGCATCCTCCACTTCATCGCCTATGAACATTATCGGATCTTTACGACGTATATGAATATCAAACGTTGCTCGCTGTTTTGAAGTGATTTTCCACAGAATTCGAATATTCAGATACTCAAACGAATTTATCTGCGTAGCATGAAAAAAACAATGAGAGGGCTGACCGATAATTTGAAATGAGATCTATAACTTACGGTCGATACAATGAGTTGATGGCTTAAAGGGCCAATGGACTGAAAATTGATATACACAAGTCGCTTTTTCACGTGTTCAGGAGCCTCTAACCATGATAATAACACTGCTGGAAATCTGCGATGTCTGGCTGCGCTACTCGTGGCTTCAGCGCGCTCACGTTGTAAGGTCGGTGACTGCAAGAGACCTACCATTTTAAATTGTGGCGCGAGAGGACGCGCTTCATCTAAGCCAAAAACCGAATTGACTAGCACTAATGCGTGACCGTGCATTTGATGTTTACTCGCAATAGGTTCAAGTCCATGATCGTGACGCACCGCGTTAATTTCCTGATACACAGACACTATTCCCAATCGAAAGCGTAAACGAAAGTAGCTATTCACGCATCGCTCCAGTACGCTCGTTGTCTACAGTATGTAGAAATTACGTTAGTTTTGTACTTTTTCATACACTGTAACGTTGGTTCGTACATGTATGGAGCCATCCGAAAACGGGGCAGGAATGTACGCAGGGGGTGAATCTATGTCGTACAACATTTGCGGGTCATTCACGACGTAAGGAAGCAGCAGTCGATGACAGACATCATAGCCCGCAAAAGTGTACCGATCTACAATAACCAAATTTGGTCGATCGGCTTCAAAGTGTTTCAACAAAGCGCCGTACATGGGGCGCTGAAAAGAAGCGTAGTAATGCAGCGTGTTTAAATGGCTGTCGTAGACTCCCAAGTCCTCAAAACTCATCGGAGTCAACGCTGTTCGATAACCTTTGCCCACAATTTGTCCTAATGAGATAAACTCAAGTCCATTCAAATCGCTCACCAATTGACGACAATTCTCTGGCAGTGCGAAGCCCACACGAACTCCACGAGACAGTAGTGCTTCAGCTAAATGCTTGAGCGGCAGCACCTTATCTAGCACGGGAATGCTCACTAAAACAATGTACAGATTGCTTGAAGCTGTTGTTCCGCCTTGTGATTTGTTCGTCAAGGTAGCAGCAGTTGTAGTAGCCAGAAAACACGTAAAGCATAGTGTCAAAATGAGCCACGCGTTCGCTCGCCAGAGACGCTGCAGTTGCATTCGTAATCGCAGATTTGGCTTCGAGGTACAAGACTTGGATGGAAAGGGACTGAGCTTTAGATGTTGCACATGGTGAATATGAGTGGATTGTACGGCAACGGACCGAAGCCCCGAGAGCCCCAACAACTCCGACTCAGTCATGATTATGCGTTGTACGCAAAACCGATAATATTACGATACTACTTACGATAAAGTGATACTTTCGCAAAAACATTCAAGTCTCTAATATTTGACTAAAATTTAAACAAGAATTGATAATAGAGCGTTTCTGAATTTGTAAGTTGTGACGTAACGTTGACTTTTTTCTGTTGTTCGGTACTTCTCAAGCTAAATAGCTGTACAGCCGTCGATCTGTGATACTGCGCTGAATATATTCGCGTTCAATTAAACTCTCAATACGCAGCTTGATAAGTTGAGGAGGAGGCGTAAAGCGACCAGCCATTTGACGTGTGACTTCGGCAATGAGTTGATTATGCTGCATTTGTTTTCGTGTCTTCATAATTCGAACAATTGCAGCTTCAACAAGATGCTTGCGATCCTCAGCAACTGTAGGTGGCAACGCATCAGCGGAGTGATTTATACCTGAGGACGTAGCTGGCAACAACGAAGTCTCCTTCTGAGATACAAGGGGTATTCGAACACGACGTAGCTTCGATTTGTAAGCGTCATTCACTGTAAATGTGTCGAATTCTTCATCAATACGCTTCCCTTTTGAACTTTTGTTTAGTATTTTGTACTTGGGTGTGCACAAGGAAATCAAATGCCGCTTCAGATCCTTCACCTCAATGCGTGTAAGCTCCAATAGCTCTTTAAAGCGCCACTCAGAACGTTGATTGAAAAGCAATAAGATAACAGCTTGATACGTTGACACATTTAGCTCATGGCGACGTTCACCATCTTCTACATTAGCCATAAACGTAGCTCGTACATCTACTGTACCCATGTTAGTCATCCATGTCAATTTACGACCATTATGCCGGGCATAATAAAACGCCTCGAAGGTTTGAGTCATCTGAACAAATTCCAATGGTAGTGCACACACAGAAGCCATCTCTGTGGGCCAAAAACCACTTGTGAGCACATGAACTGACAATAACATTGGTGCCATTGAGGAATCAATATCAAAACCGGAACCTCGAGTGTCGTTTCCTGACTTTTTATACAACTCCATGAGGTCCTTAGAAATACTCATATCCTTAAACATGCCTTCGAGCTTCGACGTGAATTGATAACCACATTCTGCCTTGAGTTTTGAAATTACAAGTTTTTCTGCCTCATCCGATGTGCCACGACTATTTAGTAGGCGCTTAGCGAGTAGAACCTTATAAAATTCCTCAAAGACATCCTTATCCTGCAGATATCGAAAAAGAGCAATGACATGCGTCACGCGAGTGTCCATCTCCTCTTCGAAACGAGTCTTCGAGCGCAACAATTCATCTAGGTAATGCGCCAGGTATCCAGCACAGATTGTATTCGTATTCATAAATGCTTCAAATCCTTGCTTTATGGAAAGACGAAATTGCGAGTCATCAAAGAAACTCTCCGACAAAAAACTTACAAACTTTTCACGCAAAGCCAAAAGCTTTTCCACAAACTGAGACGCATCCAATGCCGTTTCTGCCTGCAATTGTGTTTTGACATACTCGTCTCCTTGCGACTTAATATATTGGAACACAGCATTACTAATCTCCGGTAATGTACTTGGTACACGTCGAAATAGCGAGTACATTCTACGCAATGCCTGAGTTTTATTGTCACGAAAGAGCGCGATGCATCCTGAGTGTTCCAGCTCAACCAATGCTTTAGCTTGATTCTTTATCAATTGCGTTTCTACAATTGACTTAAGCTTATGCTCCGTCGATACGTTTAGATAATGGAGTACACGTGCTCCTTCTTCATTCAATCGTTGCTCGGCTTTTTCGAGATATTCCGAGCATGTTGCTACCTCGAGCATTGTTTGAGCCTCAGCACGATAAAAGTCGAGCGTTGTTTCGAGAAAATACGCTTCAAAGTCATTTTCATACACTGAATTCGAGTGCACTCCAAGGTCGATAAGCATACGAAGCATACTTTTAAGAAGGTCTCGATCAATGAGCTCACCATGGCGTTCTCGTTCAATACTGAATAGTAATCGAGCACGCAGTCGGTCTCGTACGCTTTCATGACGCATAACTATATCCCGAAAGATATAAAGTCCATTGTCATATACCGGTAGCTTGCGCTTTTGGGTAACGTAAGTGCGATCCATATACATGAGGATGTCGCGTACCATTGTCATGACAATTTGGTGGTCGACCCACTGATCATTGAGGGCCATAAGTAGCACATTATCAGAAACAGCAGCCACTTGTTGTGCAACTTCTTGTAAATGTTCTGTAATGACGCTTACTACGCCGTTGTAAAGCAAGTCACCATGCTTATGTAACACCAAATTATACGAGTTTCGATATAGCTCTTCAAACGAGAGTACACTCGCATTATGCAAGAAAATCTCATAAATGGCTTTGCGTAAAGATGACCAGATTTCTTGCGCACGTGTTTGATCCATCCCCATATTCTGGCGATACGGCTTGATCACTAATTTCTTCATGACAACAGAAAGAGGACAATCTAATACAAAGAAGGATGCGATCTGACGGTGTATATAATAATAGTACTACTACTTTCTGTTTTTAAAAATAGTACACATGAGTAGCAAATTTACTATTGCAACCCACTTTACAGACATAAATGAAGCACTGCATTTCTTAATGCCTTTGGAGGTCAATACCACGGAAGCCACTACGTTGGTAGCGTCTCACGACCAGATGATCAAGAATGAAGGTGCTCAGCAAGTATTGGGCATTTCAAGTTCCTTCCATGCATTTAATTCGCCCCATGGACGTCGTCAACGAACGCGCAGTAGCGAGAGCGAAGAGGAGAGTCGTTTATCACCGCCATCGCTTAGCAATGGACTTCCGTCAATTGATGTCGCGGAATTTCAACTTCGAAGACTTCAAAACGTTTCTGTCAATTCTGCCGAACACACAAATGGTGCACATCATTCAGACACAACGACTGAATATTCTTCTAGGCACCGACGAGCTGCCGTCTCGGTTCTCTCTGCGCACTCTTCCTGTAGCTCCAAGACAGTTGGTCGTATTAACTATAATATCGATAATTCAGAAATAAATGGAAGACCTGAATCCGATGACACAGCGCTACCCTGTCGCTATTACGTGGATGGAAATGGACAGATGCGAATTAAAAAATTCTGGTGGTGCTACACGAGAATACGACGCATCCTTTGGTTTGTTTTTCCATGCCTTAAACGAGACAGCAACACGTTTTTAAGTGCAAAGATGTTGGCCAATACGATGCTTATTGTGGCTGTCTATTTTATTAGAGGCCTTTTAAATCATGCCGTGATACCGAGTATACTGACACACAGAGATGAAAGAGCACAAGATGAAGCAGAGACACAGTGTTATAAACATTCACTTAAGTTTCTAGATATGTACGCATACTCGCTTTTAGCAAGTATAGTACTTTGTCTGCCTGCGCTAAACTTCAACGCATGCAGACTATACCAACCTGTGTCCAGATCCAGTGTGGAGGATACTACAACACTATCACCACGTTCGTCCATGGATTCTCCTTCCTCTGCAGTTGTTGACGTCCACATGGAACAGCAGCGCTTTGAAAAGACTTATTTATTTACACTATGCGAGCTCGTTGTGATTGTGGATATTCCGTACCTTGTCGTTACACTTGTCATTATTTTCAAACCATCGAGATCTGGAAGTATTATTGAAATGCTTGATGCATGCAATCGTCAACTTACAACGGGATTTTTTGTGCTGCTCGTAATGGTGGAACTCGTCGCTGTGTACGCTTATATTCTACGATGGCGACAAATTCTTCTCTTTCACCGACTTCACCAGCACTTTTTTTTCCAACGTGGATACGTTTCCGGTCACTCTCGCTTTGATTATGTCGAAAAGTCGTTTGCTACCCCGCTATATGCATGGCTACCAGCTCCATTATGGGCGTGCTGGCAACGTTGCAAGCAGGATTCGACTCGAGAGAATCAAGATAATATAGCACAAGGTAGCACAAAGCAGCGCATTCATGCTATAAAAGTTGCCCTTTACAGTGCTGCCAAACGGGGGGATGTGGAGAAAGTGCGCACATTGTTGGAATCTGCTGTTAGGCTTTCTGGTTCAGATTTTGCAAGCGAATGGTATGAACCGCGCGTGTTAAATTTTTGTAGCATTTTTTTGCTTGCTTGTGGGCAGCGTAATCCCTTACACGTGGCTATCGCTTTTGACCAGATTGAAGTTGTCCGTGAACTGCTCGCGAATGGCCACTTTGACGTCCAGCAACTTGACAAACTAGAACTACTGCGATTGGATTGTGGGTGGCTCTATCGTGTAATGTTTCGCGTTCTCTTTTTCATTTTACGCCGTTCAAGTGCTAGTATTGTTGCAAACGCATCCCTGGGTGCTGGTGTAGGAAATGGAGGCGCAGCACCAGGGCTAACTAGCGCTTCCCATCCATTCGGACCAGTGGGTCTCTTTCAAGCCACTTTACTTACTCCACTGCATGTTGCAGTGACATTAGGCCACGTGGATCTTACTCTTTTACTGTTGCGCTACGGTGCAAAGCCTAATGCATCGGCTGTATCTACGCATCCCCGCTTTGCTACCCCGCCGCTGTATTGGGCTGTAAACAAGGAGTGCACACGGCTGTTGCTTGATGCTGGTGGAAACCCTCTCGCGTTGCCTGGGGATGCTAACGGGCTGTTACTTACAGCTTTTGAAGTGGCGCGGATAGCAGGAAATGCGGCTGTTGCTCGACAGATGGAGAAATATGGTGGGGATGTTGCGCTGACTCCTTTGCATGATGCTTGTGCTGGCGGACGTTGCGAAGAAGTGGCGTTTTTACTCGAACACGGCGCAGATCCAGACACTCTTGGCGAACAAGTTTGTGGTTGTTTTCAGCGCACTCCGTTACACTGGGCTGCGATGCGTGGCCATGCGAGTATCATCAAGCTTCTCATACGATATGGTGCAAATGTTAACGCTCGCGACGTATTTGGACGCACACCGCTGGCTTGGGCTTGTGTGCTTAATCGCACTCGTGCTGTTGAAATGCTTTTGTCAAACAATGCTGATGTAAATGTGCGCGATGCTCAGGGTGATCCACTGCTTTGTATCTGTGCAGCGGGTGCATGTGCATCCATGAAGCGAGGAGCTAAGACAGTAGCAGGGAAACGTGAAAATATTGGAGAGGATCGCTTGCAGGAGGACGACTGTGATGGTGGCGATAATTACAGTGATGTAGGCGTCACTTTGAGTGGATCAAAGGCACTGTCACGTGGGTTTGACCCGCGAATATTTCAATTATTGCTTGATCATGGGGTGCGCTTGCATGATTCGCGCACCGTCAATGGAGACTCGGCGCTTCATGTAGCGTTACGCCGACAGAACCGAACTGCAGCCGTATTGTTTGTACGTGCAGGGTTAAGCTTGACTGCGATGAATTTTCTTGGCCAACGTGCAATTGACTGTGCGCAATCACCGGATCTTCGATTTGCTGTGAAGAAAGAGGCAGGTCATCGCGATGTAATGATAAGCTATAGCCACGCTCATGCATCGCTGGCTTGTCAGATTCGAGATGCCCTGGAATGCCATCGCGTGACGACATGGATCGACACGATGGGGCCTACGGGTATCACTGGTGGTGCAGTGTGGCGTCAGGAGATAGCACGCGGTATTCAAAGTAGTGCGCTCGTGCTTGCTGTACTGACGAAAGACTATCCGCAGTCTCAATGGTGTATGAAAGAGCTTGCGTTCGCAAAGATGCAGAATATTCCAGTCGTGGCGATTCAATGCGAGGACATGGAAATTTCCGAGGAACTACAAGTTTACTTGTGGACTCGTCAAGTGATTGATTTTAGGCCAGCAGTGAAACAACTCTACGCCATCAAATATAACGAAAATCAGTCATATCCGCCATCTGATGAACAGATCGGTGAAAGCGCCAAGAAAAAGGAGTGCGTGACTATGCGCAATAGTTCACACACCGTGGAGGATAGCGAGTCGCATGGAGTCTATAGCGACGAAATTAATTCTATCAACGAAGCGGATGGCATCAGGCTTGAACCAGACAGCAACGATAATGTCTTTAGTCATTGCCTGCGAATGCTCTTGGATGGCATTCAAGATCAGATTGAAGAGCACCGAGCTCGACTAGCTCGGCGTCAGGCGCAACAGCAGCAGGTTCAGCTTCCTAGGCATGAGATGGACGATCGAGCTGGCGAAAATGCGTCTCATTGTGAGAGTTTTTGCGATGATAGCGAGTGCTCCCGCGTAGAAGACAAAAGATTATGTGAAACATCTTCTGTTTGTGGAAACCTTGGTGAATGTGAAGATGCCGAAACGATCAACTTTCCGGAAGATATCCTCACTGTACCACTTTCCCGTCCCTTTCGTAGGATCGAGTCGCTTGTAGCCCTTACGACCGCTGATTCGTTCGTATTTATCGCACACGGAGATTATCATCGTTCTTTCTGCCTGCGTCTACGAAAGTCTTTATTGAAGCAAGGTGTTCGTTGTGTTGTGGACCAGTCGGCGCTTTCAGTACGATACGCGCATCAGTCTCAAGAGTACGCGGCTACTGACTTGACAAGTGAAGATATTGGATCAGATGTCAATGAACGTGATCAACGTCTTTCCGTTCAGACTCGCCAACTCGCTGCAAAAGATGCCATCATTGCTTGCTCTGCTGTCTTGGTCATTCTGTCACGTTTAACAGTGAATTGTGATCTGCTGGCTGACCAACTAGCATTTGCGGAAGATCGTGGCAAACTACTAGTTCCGATCCTTCTGTCGATGGACAAGGTTGACTTAGCGAAACGCTATACCTTTTCACGTAGCATGGTGCACCATTTTAACATTTCATTGGGCTATGAACAAAGTGTGGAGCAACTTACGAAGCATTTAAAAATACAGCAAAGTAATAAAGCGCGGCAACAGCGCCATCAACGTCGTGAGCACAGTGATCAAAATTTGTTTTCGAGGATGACAGTGCTGTCTCCAGTTTCAGCCTCCTCTCCGGCACAACGGTCCTCGTCTTTAGACAGCTACACGGAGGTGATGGAATTGCCGTCACCGTATGAGGATAACATGCTTTCAACTGACGCTTCCCTTCTACTACCTCCTTTGCCCGTGACAACTATCATGACTTCGTTTCAAGGAGAGAGAACGCCAAAAGGGAGCTCGGGTGGCCATGGATTGAGTGACTCAGATATCGCAAGACGCGACAAATCACGGTCTGGTAGCTCAAATGTAAGCACTAGAAGTAGAGAAAGCAGTTTGCGATTGACTGGATCATCACAACATCGACACAGCACTCGAAGTATCTCTGAGGACATTGTATGAAAAGCCTTGGACTTCATATTTATGAATCGTGTAGATGTGATATTTATTTAAGACATGGACAGATCTCATTGGCGATGTTGCCAAATATTAGCCTTAAGTGTGGAGTTTTTGTGTAATTACACTGAACACATAAATAAAATTGTGCCGCTGACAAAAAACTCATCATGGCGGAAGTGTTATGTTCTTCTGATGGTGTTCTTCTGACCACCGTCTCATCTAAGCATTTGATGGGAGTTTAGAGATTATGCTAAATGTTTGCCACAATAACCCATTGAATCAATCTGCAAGTCGCCCTCAAGACATGAATCAACAAGTATACGAACGTGTACGATCACAATTTTTGATGTTGCATCAAAGTAAATCATATACTAAATAGTAAACACTCTTGACGGTGTATAAGTGCACACGATTCGAAAGCTTCTTGGTTCCGCTTCTAGTTCGAGCGATTAAACCCGCTCCATGTGTGAAGTAAATGCGGACTTTTCGAATCGATGCTTCTCTGCACAACGTGCACGTACCGTCAATCGACAGCCGAGCCTTTGTAACGTGTGTTTTCTATGAGAACGGGCACGAATTATCTGTCCGTAGGGCTACTATACACGGTTTAAAAGCTCACATCTATGTTTGATCTCGAGGGACGGCGATCACGGACCAGAAACGGTCACACTTCTCCGGAGGCTTTCATCATATATGAGGAGACGCTGTTAAGACAGCAAAAAAATCTCCTAGACCAGGTGTCCGTACAAGTTGAGTGGTTCTATCGCAAGTGCACTTATGTTGAGCGTCCAGATTGAGAATAGAGACGGTAAATATTACTTTGGGGCGATATAATTTGATATAATTATAGTTACGGGCATGCTCTAGATGATGCAGCGGGGCTAAAGTAGCTTAGCGCTTGGGGAAGCTTAATTTAGGTCACCGATTTTTCGTTCTTTACAAGGACCAATACGAGTGTAGCGGATCGCAACCCGCTACCTCCAAGAGTAGTTAGTACCTTAACCAAGGCTAATAAACTCTTTGGTTTAAATTCAAAACAAATTTCTATTTATTTTTATGTGCGGCTAAACCGCCTAATTTTAAATGTTTATCGTAGAATCTAAATACATGTATAACTACTGGCTATCTAGCCACATAACGTATTCTTGTTGGGTGCACTTACACCATGACCAGGGTATGTGTAACCCCCGTTACACCTCCTCCCATTAAGATTGAGAGCATTTTGAGTTCCAATCGATTATTGCCTCAACGAGGCTCGCGTGTCCGCTACACACTACATCTTAGTTCGTTGAAAAAAAACGACTTCCGTGCCCAATGAGTTGTGAGATGAACTTTGAATTGGATAATTATTAGGGATAGTATCTGCAGCGGGGCTGCCGTAGCAAAACGCTTGAGGAAACGTACTTAAGGTCACTGACTTTTCGTTCTATTCAAGAACCAAGTATGAGTTAGCGGATCGCAATCCGCTTGCTCCAAGAGTCATAATTGCCTTCCCAAGGCTAATCGACTCCTCGGTTTGAATTCCAAACTGATTTTTATATAATTACTTATCCTAATGTTAAAAGTTTAGATTTTTTAGATATACTAAATATGTATAGCGAAGTCTTAATACATGCATAACTACTGGCTATCCAGCCC